CTCGGTTTGCGTTTCCACTGCAGTTTAGTATCGCTTTAGAGTGTGCGGGATTATTCACATGTCATTATAGTTGCGCCGCCTCTACTGCTGCGACTCCTGAAAAACTTTTTCATTCCGCGTCGCCCCATCAAGCTTTCGCAGGATCCACTCATATGCTACCAACGGAGGAACATCTGTACTTCCTCAACAGACAACGAAACAGCCACTTTTTGGTTGTTAAAAAAAGTTCAGTTCGATCCTTCGCTGGCTGTGCTGATTTAAATATAGCGGTTCTGTTGTGTTTGTGTCACAAGTTCAGTGACGCAGGTAGTGACGATTCTCTCTGGCCAATCCGTGATCACTAAAAAAGTACCAGGTACCAGGTATGCAGTGGAAAAGTGCCATTAGTGTGCGTTAAGGGCACTACGCTCTCGTTTTTAAGACCTGGGACAGTCTTGTGCACTTACTTCCTGTCAAGCGCACGCGCTCTCAAGTGGCCAATAAGTGTGAGTATTTGGACAAGGCATCAGTCCCAAAGTTAAGTGCGCACACTTCGAAGGCCACGGACTTCGAAGGCCTCCGAAGTGTACGAAGGACCCTTCGAAGTGCATGAAGGACGCTCCGCCTTCGCAGGATTTCCTAATTGAGAAACCAGAGGTAACCGATTAGCGCTCTACGAAGGACCCTTCGAAGTGCATGAAGGACGCTCCGCCTTCGCAGGATTTCCTAATTGCGAAACCAGAGGTTCCCGATTAGCGCTCTGTCGCATAGCAACAGTGCGAGAGGAAAGCTGACGAGAGAACAATCCTGCCAGGATAGGTGGAGCTAGAACTGCTCATTAATAGGTGCCTCGTGTCTATTGCTGTTTTATTTTTTCTCTCGCTCCGTTTCTTTTCTCTCTCACTCCGTTTTTTCACAAGTTCATCAAACAACATTGGTAAGTCAGAATCATTCATCAATCACGGTGAGTAATGGCTTCTTCTCCTGTTATTGTTGTGTTGGCGATTCTATTGTACGGAACCTGAAAATAGAGACACCAACCACCATAGTCCAATGTTTACCGGGAGCCAGAGCGCATGACATCTTTAATATGGATAAACAAGTGATAAAGACTGGCTTATTGAATATCAGGTCCCGTTCTACGAAAGCACTTTTTGTAAATGATATGATCACTGATCATAACCTAGATGTGCTCTGTTTGACAGAAACCTG